CGAAAAAGGGTACTCCCTATTTATCTTGATAACTTAAATTAACGTTCTTTAATCTTTGTTTTTGTAACAATGTTCTTAAGTTATTCCGTTTGATTTGCAGAGTTTTGGAGAAAAAATATTGCTGAAATTTCTCTTTGAAAATCAATTTGGAAAAAGGTAATTAATTAAGAATATTACCATCCTTAATCATTTTGTTACTAATTTATTTTGTTAGTCTGTAATATTTTTTTGAAAGAGATAGTTTGAAAGCATCATTTGTTTCCATACATTATCTCATTTTTAAATTAAATTAAACATATGCCGTGCATCTGCACGGGCCATAATTCTAGTATATTATAAAAAAAAAAAAATTTGTCATGAAGATAAATATAAATAAAGACGAAAATTTTATATCCGATGAAAAATGAAATATTGAAAAATATAAACGAAAGAGAGAGGGTAATTCTTATTATCTGATGAATGTTATTTATTACAATCGAACGGATGCGTTCGTTTATATAAAAATGAAAAAACAAAAGTTACTGCGTAAGTATTGACATGTGTTCGAATATAATGGTAAAGTAGATCATCGAGGCAAAGAAAAACATGCAAGACAAAACTGAGAAGGAAAAAAGAAATGATCAAGAAAACGTTCTTATATTACAGAATTAGTCATGGAAGAGTAAGGCATTTAGCTGAGGCATCTCCAAGAAAACAAGAAACTAAATTTTTGGTAGCGGTACTAGAATGACAATTGATGTCCTTTGCTTTATTCGCCAAATACACATTCATTAAGATTATCAGAATATATATATTGGTGTTTGCTTGGAGATTCAAAATTGTATGTAATCATCGCTCATGTACATTTATGAATATATGATTTCCACCTTCAAGTTCCAAAAAGGTGTTATGAATGTTTCTTTGTTGTTTCAAATCCAGAAGGAAACAATTGGTTTTGACTTGGAAACCCATAATTTCCAACTTGAATCTTTAAGTAACTCTAACCATCTCTTTTGTGCCAATCTTCATAAGAAATAAGGTTAACAATACAAGGAAGCTTCTGTTTCTTCTTCAAGAAACACATGGAGCTAATCTAAGAACTTACTTATCAAGAAGCATCATTTTATAAAATCTTCCACAAAAAGAAATATTTACTCTACTTTTCCCCAAAATTTCTTAATTTTTTTTCTGTCATATTCAACAGCAAATCACAAGCGAAAAGGTATCTTAAAGTTAACATCTCTAGAAGTCTTGTTTGTCTCAGCAGTCTCCTTCATACTTGTCCATGATTTTCTCTTCCTCTTGTTTGAACCACCAACTGTTTTCTCAGAAACAACGCTTTCGGGCTCCATCGGTTTCTTACTTTTGGATTTTCTTATTCTCTTTTCCCTCTCCAATGTAAGCATTGGCTTTGGTGTATTCTCAACACTATTCTCCACCTCATCTTTCTTCTCACTTCTTACAGGTGAAGAAAGCATGTCCTGAGGCATCATCTCTTCCTTCTTCTTAGGACGAGCGGTTTTTGGCTTGGACGGGTAAATCTCATTCATTTGACCTTTCGCAGTTCCTCGTTTAAGATTACGGTGAGAACAGAAACTGCAATTGTAAACTACATTGTTCTGAGGCAAACAAATGTTAGACTTGTTGCAACTCATATGT